ATTTGTTTGGTTCAATAGACATCCAAGGCCATTGGAACTTATTAACTTCGGCTAGACGCGATATGTTTCTACAAGGGAGAGTAACTCTCTCACTCATAAAATATAATAATTATCAGTTATAGAGAAGGGATTTTTTGCGTCGAATTAATATATATATTTATTTCAAATGGCAGGCATTTTGATAGCTATCATTAGCCCTTTAGTTGACTTCGGGCTTCACAGAGGGAAGAGTCATCAAAGTAGCAGAAAGTCGAGGAAGGGGAGCAGAAGAGCGATTCACAATGTAAAAGAGGCAGACAGACACAAAGGTAGAGAAAAAGGCAAGATGAGTGTTGTTGAAGGGGTTGAATATGAAATGCAGTGGGGTCTTAGTAGTTTAAAGTCAGAAGTCAGCTGCCGATTAATAGACTTTTTTGCCGTATGAGTATACGTTGCCCAGGGTGCACCACGTGGAGGTAAGTCTATCGCACACCCCGAATTAAAATATAAGTTATTCACTTGTGTATGGATTAGCTTCGTCACATAGCAATTATAAATAGAGCTGTGAAAATGCCTGTTCATACATTATTGGCAGCCAAGGGGGTAAATGATGAATCTGTCCTCGGGCAGAAAAGCCAGCCAATCAGTGCGCAAGCTGCTGATTTGCCTAATAATCGCATTCTTATTGGCTATGTTGCTAATAACAACTTGGAAATAGAAATACAAACCTATTGAAGGCAGATTAATCAACAATTACACAATAGAATTGGAATATTGGATATTGCTTGCAATCAAATGCAATATAGGTAATGTACTTTTTAATTTTATTCCCAAGTTTTCTATGACATAATCGAAGTGTTAAATGAATTGACTATAATTTCATGTTGATATGATGTAGCTTGCAAACATGTGATTCGTACTTAAACTCTTGATTTATTTGAATTCATATATCCTATCACTTTTCCCTCAAAGTAATGAAGTTTGCACTCTATGAATAACTTAAGGATAAAATATGTAAAAAAATACTGGGTATTGTTATTAAACTTGATTTTTGAGAAAAGTTAGCATAATTTTAATTTTTTTATTTTAAAATCAAGGAAAATGAAAAAATTAAAACAGTTTTATGGTTCCTGAAACTTGAGTCACTATGGCATTTGATTGAAGTTTTTATTTAGATTTCTGCTTTAAAAATCATTGCAGTGTTGAATATTAACTTTTTCATCAAAGTTTTTAGGTATATGATATTTGAAATTCATGGTTGTAGAGATCGATTATATTTCTAGTCTCATGAATCGAGTGCTCAATTAGAGCAAAATGCATTAAATTAAATCTTTTACATAACATTAAAAATGTGATTGTGAGAGTTGATATAAGTGATATACTCTACGACATGTCTATAAAATATTAATGTTTTATATATTTATTGATAAAATAATAGGATCTATGTGAATGGTTCTAAACAAGAGAATTCGCCTTATATGCACGTTTAATGTGAAACAGGCTGTCCCAAATCATTGCGTACTAATTGCAAACGAGGTGTTCCATTGGAATTTTACTGTTTCAAAAGCATAAAATATTTTACAAGTAAAATATTATTGTTTTTTAACGCATGCACTCAAACTAACCTCCATTATCTTTCTTCAAATTTAAATCTGGCTGTCATTCTTGTTTTCGGGGGTTGAATGTTCAGAAAACACGAACAGTTAGGTTTTGGACTATTTACAATTATTTAAAATGTAGTAAAATATAGCAAAAGACAATAAAATGATACTTGTAAAGATTTTTACACATTTGAAATGATGAAATAATAATAAACATTGTGTTTATAATTATTTTAAGTGTGTGTACATTTTTGGGGCACCCTGTTACACTTGTTACAAATGGTATAACTGTAATCAAGCAGTTAGATATATGAGGTATATTGTAACTCGACACCTAACTACTAATGACTTCAAGAATCAAATATGAGCTTAACTTTAATCTAGTATTAACGTATCACATTTACTTACTCACCTACGGTTTACAGAATTATTAATACATGTTGATTAAATTATGTACTCCTTGTCAAAATAACTCACAACATGGAATTAATAGTTCACGAATATCCTACAAATATTTTTAATTTCACTATAAGAATTCCGAAAGTTCGACAATTAATCAAATAAGTTAAGCTCATGAATAATTTAATAGAGTGAATAAGAGACCGTTTTTCTTGACTTTAAATCTTATTTTTTTGAAAATGAAGTTACAATACTCTGTTAATCATGTATGTTTTTGTGGATCTTTTTTAAACGCCTCGAGTTACAGTCCAAAGATCTGGTGGAAATAAGGATGTCTTAAAGAAGGTCTCTGAGTAGTAGATCATCAGTTGTAATTATAAAATATAAACTTGCACCCAACATCATAGGGTCAAACTGACTAATTAGATTAAGCACACAGATGAAGAATTGGATCGAATATGAAAATTTGCAAATAAAGCCTAATTGATAAAATGCAATTGGGGAAATTGTCATGCAGAAAAGTAATGCCGCTACGAACAACTTGGTTATGGACATGACATAGGGAGTTTTTTAAAAAAAAACAACATTGTTTAGTGTTAGCAACATTCTATTTTAGGCAAAATCGGTATGCAAATTTATCTAGACTTTATTGAATTAATTTTATTATGAATATAAATTTGACGATCCATGTGCTAGATTAGAACCGATGAATAATTAGTTTTAAGTTATTTCACCATCTCTCATCAAATAAATTAATTCCAAATTAATACCACACATTATTTCAGCCTTCATTTTACAACTTTATTACAGCAATCAGCAATGCACTAGGAGCTTGAACATGCTTTATAAAGTTGATGACTCTACACAATTAGATTTTGACGCAACTAAAGCCCAATATTCTCCTCCTCCTCACACAAAATCCCTCTGATATTTATTCGAAATTCAATATGCGAATTCGGTAGTATTTTTTCATTTTAGGAAACTTGGTGGAACAGGTTTAAAGGTTTCTTGCCTGGGACTAGGTAAGTTTCTATTTAAATTTCTAGTTTTCAAATCCTGTTTCATGGTTTAACGATGCTATCAAATGAAACAGTTTCGGCTCAAATTACATAGCATATACATAGTTTATGATTAGGGTAAAAGTTTCAAGACGGCAATTAAAGGCAGTGAAAAAATTTACGAGAGATACATTGCTGAAGGCACGCTTAATTAATTACAAACAGTTGGATTTTAGGGTTGACAAATATTACTTTTTTTCCCAAATGTCAATTTTTGTACTTTTGTGAACATTTAATGGGAAATGTAAACAAGTTTGCATATGAGTGGTACTAATTGCGACTGATTTTCCAAGCAATTAACAACATAAGCTCGAGAAAATTGACGTGCACTAAGCTATTCTGTGCATGCACTGGAAACAGCATGATCGCCCGTTGTTTAATTACTAGTGATCAATACAAAATAAGGTTATTAGCTACTTTTAAGATTTAACATTAAATTATATGACTGATTTTTCATGAAATGTTAAAAAAAGAAAAATTAGGCCTGAAAAACTATAACTATGATTAAAATTAATCATTTTCTATTTTGAAATTCAGTTATAATAGATAAATTGCGTGTATAATCATACTTCAGAAAATGGGTGCATTAAATTGAAAATAATTATTTATAATGACAATTGAATTTATTTATAAAATAGTTTGCAATGTCGGAGTTTCAGTTTTTATTTTATTATAAAAATGATATTATCTTCGTATGATTGCAATGTAATGGGATATTCAACATCGATGTCATATATATATATATATATATATATATATATATATATATATGCTGATATAACCACGCAATGCATTTTCTTTATTAAGATCCCCCGAGTGCTTACATATACCTTTATAACAGTTCTCTATGTTCTTCTATTTTTCTTTTTGAGTGCCGAATCAAGCAAGTCCTTACTTCATCCTCATTTATAAAGCTCTTTCTCCTGCAGGAACCGCGGTAACATTTGGTGGTCAAATATCGGATGAGGTAGGTCGTCAATTGTGATAAATGATCACTAGTTTGCCTAATTAGCTTCCGTCTTGTCTTTTCTAGTTCAGCTGCAAGTGATTGTTGTTTTATTAATTGTTGCCGATCGTAAACCTCAAAGGAAATTATTGCTGATGAGAGAACACGAGAAATTAAGGATTGGATTCCCATTATTAGAGGATTATCTTAACTTCCTCATGGAGTTTTTTTTCGATCAAATGCTTTATCGAAACTGGATGTCTAAATTTAGCAGTAAACTATTAAAAAAACATTTGCAATAGTCCAGGTTAACAACTAGTAGGAAATTCAGTCTGCTCAAATTCCGATTTTTGAGTCATTCTACTTTTTCCAAACCATTCTGTTTATGACATGTTGTATCTATAGGAAAAACTACGATATATATTTTCTTTTCCCTATTTATAAGGCTAAGAATGTATGAATTTGCGAGAAATTGGAAACAAATTGATTGTCTCACCTTTCCATTAAATTTTTTATACTTTCTTAATAATAATGAAAAACGCTTTTCTTTATTAATTTCATTTGGTTTTAGATGGCAGAAAAGATAACTACGCTGGCGTATAACAGTGGTATTAACTATTTCGATACCTCCGAATATTACTCAGAAGGCCGGTAACTTTGCGGTTCACAATTTAATTTTTTTCAATTTGTTTCATATTATTTCAATTAATTCTTACTCAGTTATTCTTGGCTATAGAGCAGAACAAACGTTTGGAAAAATACTGAAAAACAAGGGATGGAGGTAAGAGGCCATTTATTTTTGCATTAGAGACAACTTTTAAATGTTAATTACAAGGCAACGTGTGAAATAATGTGGGAAAAATTCTGTACAGAAAAAAAAGTATTTTTTAAAAAAAATGATTATGACATTTATTGAAGCATTACAAAGCAAGCTCACATGTAAGATTTTAATATAATTCACTGTGTTATTGGTTTATAGACGATCAACTTATGTGATCTGTACTAAACTCTTACGGCATGGCAGGTGAGTGCCAGTTTTATCACATCAACAATATTCAATTTTACACTTACTTACAATCTACAAAATGTGCGAATATGTTTTTAGAGTCAGATTGTCTAGATAGTTAGAGCTTAAAGTAATATTTATGTTGTGTTGACTGAATAATAGCCATAGCGAAGTACTAAATATTTTGATGGGCATATGAAATAGTAGTTTTATTAAGGTGTCCCATATAAAGTGATATTTTAGAGTTTCAGTCATTAGCCGTTTTAGAAAATTTTTCGCAGAATTTTCAAGCTTTTCGGCCTCTCAATTTGGTTTGCTGTCGAAATTTGATTCTTAAACATTTTCGGCAGACATTCTGACTCTCATATATATCTAAATATTTTTACATTATTATTTATTTTCTACCATACCATTTGTCAATGAACAATTGTAATTCTTATCTATGTTGCGGAAATAGTTGCAAACTTTGCGAAATGGTTGATTGTTTAAGTTTCTAAATTACGAACAGCCTCCTGTTCGATTATTGCGTCATATTTATGGTCAAGATGATTTAGGTTTTATTCATTTCTTTTATACATAGTCAGTCCTCATTATAATAAAAAATGGCTTAACATCAAGGTCTTTATTTACAAATGCATTGTATTTTTAATTTCATTAATTTTTGCTATCATCAATTTACTTACTATGATTTTATTCGATGCAGTGCTCCAACAGAAGTAACTCTTTCTCGGAAGCGAATAATTGAAGGTAAGAATAAGTAAAATTAAATTTAATCTTTCATCTTGTGAAGTTTGTCTTTTTTTCATAAAATATTTAATTTAATAGATGTCTTCATGATTTATATTCCCAAGGATTTAATTAAATTTGAACTCAACTTGTTCATTGGCAAAAACTTTTGAGCAGTAGTTGTGTTTAAGAAGGTGCGTCTAAAGTGATAAAGCTTTGCTGCATTCTTGGCTAAATTCTTCGCTCCTTTCAGCGTGAAGCATATAAGTAAATATTCAGCTGTAGATATCATCTGAAAATTCTATTTATTTAAATTTGTTATCTTCTCACTATCTCTACTCACCTTTTCTGAAATTTCATTTCCGGTTGTTCAGGAATTATTGTTAATTCAACGCGTGCACAAATCTACTTCTCTGCACATAAAAAATGTACCAATTTGTACTATTGCGAGCTTTTAATACCAAATCGGTTAATATCATGCTAAATAGTAGTTTCGTACTTTTAGAGATGGCAGTTGAGCACTAATAATCAATTTCGTTTTTCATTGCTCTTTGGTTAAATGAATTATGTACATACAGTAGCCAATACGCCGAGTGGAACAATAACCTTTTTAACTAAATGAATCTAACATAACTTAATATTCTCAACACTATCTTTTATTTGCCAGAAATCTAAATGGGTCAAGTTGATTCCAATCCATGCATTATTCTACAAGTAGCCTTAAATTAACCGTTTAGTTTGACTAGTTGAATTCTTCCATTAAATTTAAATCTACAAATTTATCATTCTATCAGGTGACTAGAATTAAAAAACTTTAAACAAGTTAAAAGTTTACGTAACTGTCAAATGTTTTGTTTGATTAGCATTTTTTAGCATTTAGTGACTCATCAAAATAAAACTAATATTTAGTTTCACTGTCTCAAGCCATGGTTAAGAAATTAAAAATCAGTTGATTATTGTAATATCGATTTTTTATTTAATCAAGGAAAATTAAACAACCGATTTCATTTAATTATACTTCGACTGATCGATAAGACAAAATTTTCCCACATTCACTTCATGAGATTGCATTTCAATATTTAAATACTTTTTACAGGTCTCCTTGGATCGCTCGAAAGATTACAATTGGATTATGTGGACATTGTCCTGATCGCGCGAGATCCAGATCGGATATGCACCATAGAAGAAATTGTACGAGCCTGCACCTTTGCTGTTCAACAGGGTTGGGCATTTTACTGGGGAACTTCAAACTGGTCTCCCGACGATATCATGGTAAATACAGCTTACTGAACGATTGCCTATTTAAACCGACGTCCTGAAACTATTTGATAAGGCTTAAATGCATAATTTATTTATCAAAAGTCAAATTTAGAAATGCCACCTTATAAACAACCGAACTTACTAATGACTTAGGAGAATGAGGCATTTTTTTCAAAAAAAACCAAAAGTACAAGAGGTTAGTGAAGGGCACAATTTATTCTTTGAAGAGTCCTTATGTAAGAAAAATAGAGAGAGAGAGAGAGGTAAGTGAAGAATTAGAAATGTGGAACGATGAGTAAATTAATCCTTGAAGGTGATTGTAGCTGAAATACATTTCGCTCGGCTATGCTAAGTGTTCCGCGTAATTTATTAGTCTGAGGAGTAACTGGCAATACTGGCATCTGACATTATGAGCAAAGCAGAAGTAGGAGTCTCACTGTGCAAAATAGCTTCGCACTGAGATCTCTTGCGTTTATTTTCTAATTCAATAAATGGGAAAAAAAGATGAAACAAAGGTTTCAAAGTTCTTAGAGCATTGTTGACAACACTTAAAGCTTGCATTTTGGATTTTAAAGATGACCACGACTTAGGGGTCCGTTTTTTTTGAAAGAGGACGCTTTTAAATGGCGTATTTTGTAGGCAATTTTAACTAAATTTAAAGCACGATAAAGCCTAAATGCGAGGTAAAAAGAACATAGTGGACTTGGTAATGACACAACTGGCATAAACTATGATCCATATCAAAGCCAAAATCATACTCAAATAACCTCACTAAGTGCGCTATAACTCTCTTGGTTTTTAAGTGATTACTGAAACAATAGTGGCGGCTTCCGTAATGAAATTAATATGAAAGTACGCCATAAGTTCTCGTTAAATTTAATCTAAAATCCTTTTTGCATTGTCCGAATTCCATGACGAAAAAGGAGGAATAAGTTAAGCAGACCGAATTAAAATGAATTCTATCATTTGTACGTGGTATATTTAGATCAAGCATGTACTCGATTTCTGTTTTTGATTCGGGAAGATACCAACTGAATGACCCGGTTTCTCGGAATTTCAACAAAATGCTTTCCTTAGAATAAATAGACTTTTATCGACCAATTAGTGGCGATTTTACCTCCGGCATAGAAAGTGTGAAATAGCTTTCTACATGATAAATGATAAGCAAATATCAATCATCGGTTTCTGTTGCCAGAGTGGCTCATAAATGAGATTTTCCTGTTCATTTTAACTGCGCAGCAAAATCACCATTGTCCTCACAGTGTCCCTACCACCCTATTTGTTATTATAAAAAGTAGAATATTCTTATTCAAGAACTATTTTATCTAAAAATGCATGACTTAAATTTTAATTTAGTGAAATCGATTTAATTGAAACCAAAAAATGGACAAATTTTAAATCAAAGGTGGTAAAAAATATCATAGGATTGTATTTCTTGTGGTTTAAACAAAAAACAAAAGTTATAATTTGGTTAAAATTCATTTGAAAGCTAGTTTTAAAAGTTAAACCTTAGCGATCTTCGAGGTCATAATAAAACCATGGAAATACCACTAATATAATAAAAACTAAAATTGAATTTTGCTTCTTCATTAAATTAATGACTTTGGGTTCACTTTGTTAAACAATAAAGTTCATATAAACTTGGACTAGTATAATTTTCAACAATTTTTCAGTGAATCGTGAAAATTGGTCTATTGAAATAGCAGTCAGCAGTAGATTGATTGGCATCAAAATCGGTAGAAACACGAGAATTCACAATCTTTGTGTCTGTTAAAACTGCAACGATTTACTGACTTAAGTGAAAAGTTTCACTTAAATGCAAATGTCAAATGCTTCATATCTTTCAGTAGGAAAAGTCATGATGAATTGACGGACTACTGGTAACCGTCAATAAAAGGGAGATGACAAATGCAAAAGCAAATTTTTATAATTCAATTGCAAATATGCAGTATTTTTGCTCAATTTTGGCAAAAGCATGCGGTATGCTGAAATCCAATTTTTGCAAACGGGGAATTTACTTCGAAACTACTTCTGGAAATAGTTGTCAACTCTTAACGCCAAAACTGAGATATTTTTAACTTTAAACGTAAACTTTAGGGTGATTGAGGTCTTTCGTAGACAATTAATGGAGGTATTCTAAAGCGTCGGGAATTGCGATTGGGCTGATGACTGTGCTGGATCTTTGGAGTTCCAGGACTTCCAAACTGAGGGAGATCACAGGTTTGAGTACCTAAATAAGCCGTCATCCGACACCTAATTTGTTAAGGATTAAGGACCTAACCTACTGTCTCCTTCCATTGTGATTTGAGAATTTATGTCAGATTGCCAATATAAGTTGCCCAACTAGATTGCTAAGATTTTCAGGGAGTATGAATGAAGATATTGCGATCAGAACCAAAGTCCTAAAATGGAATAGAAGAGAACAGCGCGAAATTTCTGGACCCAGTGGCTGTTATTACGTCCTGAATGGTGAAAACCTATCGGTGGCTGTTGAAGATGATATTTTACCTATAGCCACTCTAAATGCGAATCCACCCAGAAAAGCAATCCATCCTATAGGTTCACCGTGACTGAAATCTAGGAAAATAGGTTTAAGGGCAAAAACAGTGAGATCCTACGGAGAACGGATCGCATCATATTATTTACCCTCGAGTGGTTAACTTTCCATAGATAATCGCTCACACAATCTGTAAGGGATTGTGAAATCCGCTTTTGTTAAGAAATAGTATATTCCTTGATTTCTTCAATCTAAAATTCTCTGAGATGCTAAATATTCGTGCTCTCCACTGGCTATATAACCTTTTTGGCCTCCAAAATAGTCTATATCCCAGAACTGAATAGTGTTAAATAAATTGCCTAAGGCCGATCTTTCTCACAAATTATGCAATGTAATGACCCTGCGAAGTTGAACATCTTAGCAGATGTGTAAGTCTTGGTTAAAAGGATCATTTTAATTTACAAATCTGCTTTGTTTATTAAAATTATTTGCTCTTTTAGGAAGCTCATGCGGTAGCTCGTCTCTTCCATCTTATTCCTCCCTCTATGGAATGTCTTGAATTCAATCTTTTCCAGCGCGAATTTCATGAGAGTGGATTACCTGAGATCTGCTCGAAATTAGGTACGTTAAACTCTGTTCAAACATTTTGGTAAAATATAAACTGGGTGTTTTTGGTTGCTTCTAGTTAAGTTATTAATTAATTTCACTTTTCGTTCGGTGCAAATTCATTTTGGTTAGTGGGAAAACTATCTAATTAGCAAACTGGAACTATTTGCCAGCCTGCATTTAAATTAAAAATCTAATTTTAGTTAATAAAAGCGTCTGTAAAATCTCTTTTGCAGACAACTGTTTAGTTACAATAATTTATTTTAGGAAACTTTCAGATTTTTAACTCAAGTAAAGGCTAGAAAGAATGGAATTTAGATAGAAGTTTTGTGTGTTTTTTCAGGTTTGGGTTTGGTTTCTGGAGCTCCGCTTGCAAGAGGCTTACTCTCAGGAAAGTATGAGGAAAGAATTCCCCGATATTCTCGGGCGTCCCTTCAGGTTAGTTTAAATCTTGACATTCAAATGGAATTTGACTAGTTTTGTTTAGAAAATCGGCATTCTTAAGAGCGAAATTAGACTATATTTTGTTTGTTTTTTTTACTTTCTTGAGTTACTTACAAATCTTCGCTTCACCTTACTAAAACAATGAATTAATTCAATATCGGTTTTTGCCCATAATCCGGTATTTTGTTTAAATGCACAATGACATAACCATTTGTACAATTTAAATGAAAGGCTTAATCAAAAGGCATTTTCCAATTTTAAGAGTCAGAAGGATTTTCGCGAACATATTCTCAGTAAGGAGGGGCAGGATCAACTAGCTCAAGCTTCCCAACTATCGAAATTAGCAAATCGCCTTGGAATTTCTCTTCCTCAACTCGCAATAGGTAGCAAATAATGCTTTTTCCGCACTAAAATTGTATAAATTGTTTTGCATTACTCTTAACAAATCAAATATCTTTATTACCATTAACTTTAGACTTTTTAGAAGTCATAATATTAAAATTCCAACATTAACCCCCTTAGATAATAAATCTGATTTAGCACTGGGAATATCACGTGAATCACTGCCATATTATTGACATAAGTCAAGTTACTGGAATAAATGTGAAATTTGGAAATAAGTGATCACCCACATAAACTTAATGTCTCAAAGTATAGAAATTTGATAAATTTCGAAAACTTCTTAATAGGTCTGTTTTATCACGGCTAATTGACTTCTTTGTGTTTAGTTTTAATAGGAGAGTGAATCGGGTTTACCTTATCAATGCCTTAGGTATCTAGATCCCTATATAGCCAAGGTAAATGATAAAATGAGTATGGATGATTAACTCGTTTTTGTTGAATTTCTCCTACATGACTGTTCTGGCAATGTCAGTGATCTAATTAATTAGAGTTGTATCGTTATGCATTGAACTAAAACAATCGTCGTGCCTTTAAACTAAATGTAGCTTATTGATTTTTTTAGCCTGGTGCTTGAAATCTAACCAAGTTAACAGTGTAATACTAGGAGCAGCGACTGTTGATCAGTTGCAGGAAAATCTCGGAGCCTTATCGGTAAGAGTTTACGGCTTGATCTTCATAAACCTTGCTTCATAAGAGGGCTGTGTCTTAGCACTTAGTCATTTTAGCAACAATAATTTATGTAGGCTTTGGTATTAACCTCGCCTCTCATTTAGGCATGATTTTAAGGAGCATTGGAGATTTGGAAATAAGGTAGGAGTGTCTTCTATTTTAAGCAGTTTACTTTAATCACCAAATCGCTCCAATAAAGTTGCGTGCCTCCCATTTGCTGAAGTAGTTAGCCATCAAAATTAATTTTCGACAGCCCCTAGGTATCATTGTCACAAGCAACAAAGCATTCTAATTTAATTTAGTTATTTACATCAAATGACAGGCTTTATGGTAGTTATAATTAGCACTTTAGTTGACTTCGGGTTTCATAGAGGGGAGGAACATCAAATTCAAAGAAAAGTCGAGAGGAGGGACATTACACTAATTCAAAGTGTTATAAAGACGGCCACAAAGATGGAGAAAAAGGTAAGATGAGGTGCGTACTGTGAAAGTGTCCGAATATGACATACAGTCGGGTCATAGCATTTTGGAGTCAGAAACGAACTTCCAGTTTATAGACTTTTTTGCCGTATGAGTATGCGTTGCCCAG